AGGAAGACGAAAGATTTCTACCCAAGGGCCATCACGAAGAAAATCACGGAAAGAGTCCCAGTCAGCTTTAAGGTAGTTGTATGTGGTACGATGATAGGGGGATTCTGATGAAGTAGAAGAATTTGATAATAGTTTTAGAGAGATCAAACCGTGATCAGAAGTACCTAAGGGTGAATGTGGAGAAATTGAGCACTGACTAGGATCCAAAACAAGACATAAGTCGAGTAGAGAAGGTAAATGATTAGGGTTGTCTGGAAAACGAGTTGGAAAGTTGACTATTTGAGTTAGAGATTGAGAAAGGCAAAAGTTGAGGGCCTTAACGCCAGCAGAGTCACTGACACTAGAGCCAAGCCAATCGGTGTGATGGGCATTAAAGTCACCAACAACGACGATATTGGCCGATGGATAAAGAGAGAGGGCTTGGTCAATTTGATCAGAAATAACATCAAGAATAGTGCAGTCTTGGGATGAAGGAGAGCGATATAGAACAAAGAGAAAGGCGATAGAGTGAAGTTGTGCTAAACGAAAGCACATAAATGAATAGTTTGTAGATTCAAACCTAGTTTCACGACAAATGGGTGAGTTCTTACGAATGTAGATGCCCAGGCCAAGCATGTGATTATTGGAGTCTTTACGAATTAAAGGAAGATAACCATCAACACTAAGATCACAAGATGGGACAGCCGAACTCAAATTAGTCTCACAAAGAGCAAGTAGGTCTGGTGAACTTTGCAAGAGATAAGACTCAACAGAAGAAAAGTTACTTCGAAGACCACGAATATTAGTAAATGATAGGTTTAGAGAACTTGGTGATGACAATGGTTTTTTGTGTTTTTTAGTTTTAGGTACTTTAGTCATTTTAAATTTATAAAGAACTTGACTCAAGTATAGATAGTACTCAGTACACTATTTAACAACTAAGCAATGGCCTCATTACTATTAATAAACCCTAAGCCGTAACAAAGGGCTCCAAATGTGGCCTCTGCAATGCACACCAAAAGTACAAACAGGGACACCATCCATGCGCAACATGGCACTGTTATATATATATATATATATATATATATATATATATATATATATATATATATATATATATATATATATATATATATATATATATATATATATATATAGATATATATATATTTATATATATATATATATATATATATATATATATATATATATACATATATATATATACATATATATATATATACATATATACATATATAGATATATATATACATATATATATATATATATATATATATATATATATATATATATATATCAGCGGTGTACCATCCCAGTCACCTGTGGGCAACTGAAACAGTTTTTATATCTCATTTGAGATGTCTGCTATGATAATCAGTAGTTCGGTGTAAAAGTTTTTTTTTATTTTTTCTCAGATGAAACTAATAATATTTTTAAAATTTTAGTTTATGCAAATCTTTATTTTTAAGGAGCAATTATGAGTTTGTTAGGAAAAAAGCTATAAAAAACAAAATAAAAAACTTACGACTGCAAAAGTAACAATACTCTTGTCACTAACTGCATTATAAAAGTAATAATAGTGTTTTAACTTATATAAAGCACTTATAACTTTTAAAGTTCATTCTTTGTTCAAACAACATTAGTTATTCCAAACAATTAAAAATAATTAATAAAAGTAGATAAGCATCTAGAAAATGTAAACTGTATATTCAAATATTATTAAAAATTTTATGAACTATTACAAATACTTAAACAACTTTATAAAATTGTATCTTATAAAAAGTTTGGCATTATGAAAAACATTTCTATTAGTCCATAAAAATGCGCATTAATTTTAAAATTAACCAATAAAAAATTTTTATTAGTTGATTTTAAAATTAATGCGCGTTTTTACGGACTATTAGTAACATTTTTGATTACGCTAAACTTTTCATACAGTATAGTTTTATAAATTTGCTTAAGTACCTTAATAAATTTTAAATATTCTTTGAATATCTACTGTATTTTTCTAGATGCTTTTCTACTTCAATCAAAATATAATTTTATTAATAAACACACCCTTATAAGTAACTGTCTAGTGGCCCTGCCGGGCTACTGACATGGTTATAATGATGGATAATAACCATTAAAATTGTGATAACAAAACTATAAGCAAAATATGATCGAATGAAGTTTCTAAAACAATTGAATTTAAAATATTTTTATTTTAATAAATATAAAAAAAAAAAAGCTATTGTGGTTTCTGTTTTTTATTTATGTTATTTTTTTTTTTTTTTTAATTTACAGGTGTTTCATAAAACCAATATTTACAGTAACTAAATTTAAAAATACTTATATTATACTTTTATTACTTTTTAACTGCATATTTTTTTATCATAAGTAATTGAACATTTTAATAAAAAATAAAAAAGCACTATTTTTAAAACCAAGGGTCCTCAGAATCAGCATTGCTTAATATTGCAGGTGTAAACATTTTTTGTGAAATTATTTAAATTTGGTT